TCGCTCAAGCCTCACCTACCTGGGTCACGAGATCAGCGGAGAAGGGGTGCGCACCGACGGCAAGACATTGCAGCAGTACAGAAGTGGCCGACACCAACCAACGTCAAGGAAGTTCGAGGATTTCTGGGACTACCGCAAGTTTGTTCAGAATTTTGGCATCATCAGCAGGCCCCTGACTGACTTGTTGAAGAAGAACACCGTGTTCTGCTAGACGGAGATGGAGGACGCTGCTTTCCAAGAGCTCAAAAAGGCGCTGGTGGCAGCTCCGGTCCTGGCCTTACCCGATTTCAAGATGCAGTTCGAGATCGAGACCGACGCGTCGGACAAAGGCATTGGCGCCATGTTGCGCCAGGGCAAGCACCCCGTTGCTTTTCTTAGCAAGGCACTTGGCCCCAAGAACAGGGCGCTGTCCACATACGAAAAAGAGGGGCTAGCTATCCTGATGGCTGTGGACCATTGGCGCACCTACCTCCAGCATGATGAATTCATCATCCACACGGACGAGCGTAGTCTGGTGCACCTGGAGGACCAGTGTCTGGCCACTCCCTGGCAACAAAAGATCATGGCCAAGCTGTTGGGACTCAGGCACCGAATTGTGTACAAGAGAGGTGTGGACAACAGAGTGGCGGACGCCTTGTCGAGGCGCCCAGGGCCGCCCCAAGGCGATCTGGCAGCAGTGACAGTGGTGGTGCCTGCTTGGCTGGAAACGGTTCAACAAGGCTACACCGAAGACGAGGCTGCCCAGAAATTGCTGGCACGTTTGGCAACTAAACCAGAGGGGCATGACGGCTTCACCCTGCAGCAAGGTATTATCAAGCAGAATGGGCGTGTCTGGTTGGGCAACAACGTTGAGCTGCAGAAACAAGTCCTCACCACCCTCCATTCGGGAGCTACTGGTGGTCATTCGGGGTTCAACGCCACCTACAGGAGAGTTCGGCGACTCTTCACATGGCCGGGCATGAAGCATCATGTTAAGTTATATGTGGAGGAATGTCAGGTTTGCAAACAGGCCAAACCCGAATGGGTGCGATACCCCGGTCTGCTCGAGCCACTGCCCGTACCTAAGCAAGCATGGGAACTGATCACGATGGACTTCGTCGAAGGGCTGCCACAGTCAGCGCGCTACAACAGTATTCTGGTCGTGGTGGACAAGTTCTCCCGGTATGCTCACTTTATACCCCTGTCCCACCCCTTCACAGCGTTTCAAGTGGCGCTGGCTTTCGTCAACAATATTTACAAGCTCCACGGACTACCAGAGGCAATAGTGTCCGATCGGGACCCCCTTTTTACCAGTACCATGTGGAAGGAAATATTCAGGCTGACCCATACTGAGTTGAAGATGAGCACCGCCCGCCACCCCCAAACGGACGGGCAATCGGAGCGGGTGAACCAGTGCCTGGAAACTTACCTTCGCTGCTTTGTGCATGCGTGCCCCTCCAAGTGGTCATCCTGGTTAGCCTTGGCTGAGTTCTGGTACAACACTTCTCCTCACTCAGCCTTGGGCACTTCACCCTTTGAAGCATTATGTGGGCATGCCCCAAGACACTTTGGCATCATCGACCCATTGGCATGCGCGGCACCGGACCTGGCAGACTGGCTCCAAGACCGTGCACAAATGGAAGCATTACTCAGGCAGCATCTTCTCCGCACACAACAACAAATGAAGCAGTCCGCGGATAAGCACCGGTCCGAGCGCACCTTCAATGTCGACGACTGGGTTTTCCTCAAGATGCAGCCATACATCCAGCGCTCTCTGGTAACGCGAGCTAATCAAAAGCTTTCCTTTCGATACTTTGGCCCCTTCCAGGTGATCAAGCGAGTGGGGCAAGTGGCTTACAAGCTCAGGCTGCTGGCAACATGCACCATCCACCCCGTCTTCCACGTCTCGCAGCTTCGGCGCGCCCTTCCTCCCACGGAGCAGGCGCTGCCCGACTTACCGGAGGACGCGGCGCCAAGTCCCATTCCGGAGGAGATCCTCGACAACCGCCTCCATGTTCGCGACATGACTCAAGTGGAGCAAGTGCTAGTGCGCTGGACGGCTCAACCAGCGTCGCTAGCAACCTGGGAAGACCGGGAGGAACTACATCAGCACTATCCAGGAGCACTAGCTTGGGGACAAGTTGTTTCTGAAGGAGGGGAGAGTGTTACGACCCCGGCTCGCACCCACACAGGCAGTACACCGTAGGGAACGGCCCAGCAGCCCACCAAGCGGATCCGCACGCCCAGCACCCGGTTCCCAGCCCACCAATGGGAAACCTAGCCAGTACTTAAGGGAGAAGGCAACCGAAGGAAGGCAAGGAGAAACGAGACGACTCTGGCGGCGGCGGCTATCTCTCTCCCGATCCCCTTTTCTTCTCTGTTTCTGAGCACAGCTACCTACCAAATTCGTGTACCCCGATAACTCTGTTCTAGATCGAGCAAGCGCGTAACACACTTCCTCTTATGTTCTAGCTTAATTTGCAATCTGGTGGGCAGCTCCATTGCAGTCTGGTGGGCAGCCGGCATTCCGGAAGAATCTCCATCACTCCCTCTGTTAGCCCGTTCTCTGAATTCTTTAACAGCACCTCCTTGACAGACGCGCAGTCCGTTTCAGCCACAGACGGCCACTCTGTACACTTCAAATAACTGACGGAGGCCAACCAGGCAACCAACCATCATATCAACAGCTTGTAAGCCTCCTCTGCCTCAGAACACGGGCTTATCTTCCTTGAGGTAGAAAGCAAGGCCACACCATTACGGTCCCTTGCTAAAGCACCAGTACGTCCTTGCCCCGTATCCTCAACAAAGGAACCACCGGTGTTCATATTGATATATACATCTTACTTTTTTTTGGCAAGGATATACATCTTACTATGGGAATAATTAGAGTGGTCGCACTCGCGCAACGTAGTCAATTGTGCGATCTATGTTGTCAAGCCTAAACTGCTCCCGTAACCATCCCGGTCGTTAATTAATGTATTGTTTTGTATTGTAACTACATGATTAATATGAAAAAAAATGCAACATTACCTGAAGAAGGGGTAGGTTCCCCTCAAGGCTTCCCATGCTTGGCCGGTGCTTCCTGATACTAGCATCCGGTAACTGAGCGTCAGGCTTGCATAGTTCGTTGATCTTATGTGTCTGTGACAATTCCTAGATAGGTAGAGTTGACTGTTCATTGCGTTCTTGGCACATCATGCACTCTATTTTTTTTTAGAACCAAGGCTCAAGCGGCAGAGCCCGGCTTTGAATTAACAAAGCCATCAACCGGCCAAGATTACAACTCCAAATTACACTACTCACCAACTAAAGAAAAGAAGACAAACAACAAAGATACAAGGGCGCCAGGGAGCAGCTCACAATGCACATACAACAAGCTAGTTAGAAAGATTGGCGTAGAGCATATAGCTTGGAGATGCCATTAACCTCTTGCACGCCGAAAACCAAGGTGAAAGCGATATCCTCGTCAGGAGAGTGTACCGACGACGATGCAAGGCACGCCGTTGCCAAAACACCTGGGCTTGAAGAAGACACATCCGTCCAGATCCATCGTCAAAGAAGGCCCCTGCCTCCTCGCCTGGCTCGAAGGCGCCGCACCGTTGAACGATGGACCATGCACTCTATTGTGTGTACGAATGGGCGTGCGAAAGTCGTATCCTCTGCTCTCTTTGAAGGTTATCTCAGTTCCAAATTTGGGTTTGAAGTTAGCATACATAGACTGTACTTCCTTCATCGGAGAGCGAGAAAATGTTTTCCCCTCCTAAGGAAATGTTTGAGCAGCTCCACATCTGTGATGGAGTTACACATGGCTTCCCTTGAGGGTAAATGTGTCATCTTCAAGATCGTACCTATTGGCGACCCAGTTCAATGATTTACAGCGATTGTGTACTGGCTTCATCTTCAGGATGTCTCCGAGTCCCACCATTCTGATGAGGTATGTTTGCGTACAGGAATTGCGAGTATATCTGAGTTAAGTGATTTGGGAGGGAACTAAGGAAGAGCCATATATCTTCGACAGGTCCACCTATGGTGAGGTGTTCATGGAGCCTTTGGCTCATCAGAATGTAGAGAAAATCCAAAGGAGATATCCAGAGGATTGGGAAAGGGGGCCAAGGAAGAGCTATATTTCGACATTACCGCATATCATCAGCAACTTGAGGTAAGAATTACAAATATCTTGTTTCAATACTCCCATGTGCAAAGCGACTTTGACCATAGCATCCCCATCGTTGGTTACTGTTCACATGTACAACACCCACATGCATGGAGTATGTGATAATCTTGGAAAAACATCAAAAGAGGGATAACATTATTTTTCTCATTAGCGTAAGTGGGATAGATTATTTGGATTTAAGTACTCTTGGCCGGTTTCATTCAAGGATACCATGAAAGATCTCTTATAATAAAATTAGCGATTTCTCACAAGGTTCACAAAACGGAAAAGAAAAAGGGGCAAGTTTAGACTTACTTATGACCATTCAGGAACAGAGAGAGACAGGTCATCTGCATCTGAGCAGTAAACCCAAACCAAAACACTTTACAATCCTGCTTCCATTACATGTCATACTATAATTGGTGAACAGAATAAGAATTAATAGAAGGCATCACATCATATTGATATAACTAGCAACTACAGAGACACACAGAGCAATAACTTTGTAGGCAACTAGGCATCATGTCCTCTGTCCTCACACTGTATGGCAAATTGGCAATGGCATGCTAAGAGTAGATGTTTTGCGCTGTTCGGTGTTGTCTCCACCAGACCACTGTTGTAAAAAAAGACCAATACATTTATCACAAATATTTATCATACACCGTACCCTTCTAACTTACAACATAGAAGTTGTAAAAGTTATGAGGTTGCAATTTTTGGCAACAACATGGCAGCTCTGTAAGAATGTTCCATCTTACAAAACATCGATTCGTAAGAAAATACAATTGAAAAAATATTGTCACTTATCAGCTAAGAAGATACAGAGCCTTCTGCACACTATCTTCTCTTCAGTTTCTTGATCCTCTGTTCAGCAGATAGGCAAGGGCTCACCGTTCCACTCTTTTAGGCACTCCAGCAGCGCGTCGATGTGCTTGCCCTGGTTCATGGCGACAAACACCTTGTCCACCTCTTCCCCAGGAGACCGTGTCTTCTCCCCAGTCAAGTACTCAGTCCCAAGCTCCTTGCGCACGAACCTGTAGAGCGGGTATGACCGGCATTCGGTGATACGGTTCTGCTGCGCGGCGGTTCCGTTCTCCACGGAGGTCCAGGCAGCCTCGACCTCCTTTGGTAACACTGCACGGAGCTCCTGCTCGAACGCGGCAAGCTTGGCAAAGACGGATGTCTCCACGTCGCGCTCGGCCTCACCATTGGCCAAGGCGTGCTCCACGAGAACCGCACGCATCTTCTGCATGAGTGGGTAGTTGGCGCTGCAAGGGTCGTCTGCATACGCGAACACCGCCTCACGGTCAATCGTGAGCAGCAGGTCCTTCTCGCAGAATCGCGCATTGTGGAGGTGCCCATTGTTGGTGGTGCTCAATGTCTTCCTGGCCGTCATCTTCACGCAGCTCTTGACGGCATCCTTGACATTCTCCTCGAGATGACGGAGGTCGATGGCCTGGCACAACGCGACCATGAATGTGGAGGACATGAGCTTGAGTATGTCAATGGCCTCGGCGGTCTTCCTGGAGGAGATGAGACCGAGAGAGTTGACATCTTGGTTGTGTTGCTCGGCGCTCTGGACATGGTTGGTCACCGGGTTGCCTAAGAACTGGAGCTCAGAGCAGTATGAGGCCATGGCAATCTCAGCTCCCTTGAAGCCATAATCCAAACTTGGATTGCGCCCGCCAGAGAGGTTGGAAGGCAAACCGTTGTTGTAGAGGTCGTTCACCAGCTCCGAGAACTGGGCAAACATGAGCTTGCCGATCGCAGCAATGGCAAGCCTGGTGTTGTCCATGGACACGCCGATAGGCGTACCCTGGAAGTTGCCCCCGTGGATGGCCTTGCCACGAGAGACATCGATGAGTGGGTTGTCGTTGACGGAGTTGATCTCCCGCTCGATCGACTTGGTTGCAGCACGGATGACCTCAATCTGGGGGCCAAGCCACTGTGGCGATGTGCGGAGCGCATATCTATCTTGCTTTGGCTTCATCAATGGGTCAAGCTCACCGAGCTTCTTTGCGAGTGCCATGTAGGAGCTTCCTTCAAGGATGTGCTCCATGATGGCCGCGGCCTCAATCTGTCCGGGGTGGTGCTTCAGCTTGTGGGTCAAGTGGTCGGTGTACTCCGGCTTGCCGTTCATGACCTCGCAGAAGACAGCCGATAGAACCTCGGCAAGGAGGCTTAGGATATTAGCCTCGAAAAGCACCATGGACGCAAGCCCAGAGCCCACTGCCGTGCCGTTCACCATGGCAAGCCCTTCCTTGGGCTGCAGCTCAAAGAAGCCATGCTGGATGCCGGCGATCTTGAACGCCTCCGCCGCGTTTACCTTGCTGCCATCCGGAGCAGTGGCCACGGAGTTTGCCCGACCGGTCACCAGGCCTGCGATATAGGAAAGCGGGACGAGGTCGCCAGAGGCGGTGATCGTGCCCCGGAGCGGCAAGCATGGTGTCACGTTGGCGTTGAGAAGCGCAGCAACCGTCTCGAGGATCTCAAAGCGGATGCCAGAGTACCCCTGGAGTAGAGTGTTGACACGGACGAGCATAGCTGCCCTTGTCGCTTCGGCAGGCAGAACATGGTCATGACCACCATTGCCGAACGCTCCAGCATTAAGGAATCTGAACAGACAAGAAGTGCATGAAAAAAATAAGGCTTCCAGATTACAAAAATTAAGGAGTACAGACGATCAACAACTGAAATATCTACTAATTTATTGGTGGTTTAGTTGAACTGATTCGTACCTGATGAGCTCTCTCTGCAGAGCACCGCCCTCCTTTGTCCTCCGGTGAGAAGTAGCGCCGAAGCCGGTGGTGACGCCGTAGCTATCAGTTCCGTTGGCCATGCTGTTCATGACCCAGTCGCTGCTCTCCTTGACGCGGCCGCGGGCGGACTCATCGAGCTCCACCCTGGTATCGCTGCCGGCGGCCACCGCGGCGACCATGGCGATGGTCAGGCTGGCGCCCTCCATGGTCACCACGGGCCTACGGTACTCGTCGACCATCCGTTTCACCGCGTCCAAGTGGCTCCCGGACAGCTCCTCCGCGGCCTTTCCCCAGTTCAACGGGTCGGCCCGCGCAGGCTGCGCGACGCACAAGCCATCGCCGTTGGCTGCGAGGTGTCCTCTGTTCTCGCACTCCATCGAGATGTGCAAAGAAGTACGAAGACAAGGAAGCTAGAAACTGGGCAGGTTCTTGCGCTGGATGAATTCTGGTAGGCAGAGAGGAAGGGAGACAGCTCAGGTCGCAGATGAAGGTGAGGGAGGCTAGCTCTTCTTGGAGAGGAATGGTGGGAGAGGAGGGGTTAAGTAGGCAAGGGTGGGTGCGGGGTGTGGGTTGGTGTGGCTTTGACCGCTTGACGATGGTTGCAGGTGCGCAAGATGGTTGGTGCCGGGAAGAAGAGACGCCGAGTTCTCACATGCAAGTGTTCAGTGTTAATCGTGTCATCCACCATGTGCTTGTGTGTTCAACTAGGTGCATTCCTCTGCTAATCATGTGCTTGTCTACTAATGGAAACATGTGTCGTATTGTCAATGATATAGGAACGTTTCAAACAAGCGTGATGGCTGCCTCCACAATGCATAAACTACTATATAGGAAATCTTAAAAAAACAAAAAAAGCTACGGTCTTTGCTTTGACAAAGTATTCCATCTGTGAGTCCAAAGCGAGTGGGCTTCGGCTAATGATCCACAAGAGCTTTCACTTTCACTAGTATTTTGTGTGGTTCGACGAAGCCAACATATATTATTTCATTTCTTAAACTTAAGCTTGCACGTGCTCGGTCATATGCATGGGTTGGTGCAAGTGAGCTAAATGACGAGGGATATTCCGCTTTGCTGATCCTAGCGGGCTGCATGTATATCACCGTGTGAAAGATACAGTGCCACTTGACCTGCCAGATTTCTTAGTGCCACTTGACTTAGTTTGCTCAGTGGAAACGATTTTTTATAGAAGAATAAACTGCCGTCCTCTCGTCAGTCATCTGCGCGCACATGTGAACGCCACCACAAAGCACGCCACAGAAAATTGCGACCAGATATGAGCCACAGTGGTCAAGTCGTTGGTCACGCCGAGTCATGTGCGTCTATATTTCATCGCAATGGCTATAGGTGAGTTGCCTGATTTTTCAGTTTGGGTCAGTCGATTTCATGGGAGAAGGAAGGAGGAGGACAGGCACAAGACCGGGGCTGAGAAGAGACAGCGAGGCACAGGGATAACGATGAGAGCCATAGCCAGCGACGAAGATTGGATGGCTTGACCTTTCGTGCAACTTAATTACCTTTAGCAGGTCCCATATTTCATAGTAGCAAATCAGAATGGTCAGCACTTATTACAAACAGTGGGTCAGTTGCACTACAAGAAACCACGAATATGCCGACGACAAAAGGTATGTCGCCTCCGTCGGCGTATCTCGAGTTAAGCCGGCAGCCAGGGTAATACCGCTGGCAAACCTAGGTCGTCGGCAAAGCTGAGGATATGCCGACGATGTCTGTCGTTATAAGAGTGCCGTCAGCAAATCACCCATCTTTGCGGATAGTGACTGTCGGCATACCAGAGCCATCGGCGAATCGCACATATCGTCGGCATATATGTTTTTTCTTTTTTATTTAGTTTCTTTTCTGTTTTCTAAAAAGGTTGAATTTTAGGGTTTCAAATCTAACTTATCTAAACTTAAACATATACAAATTATATCAATTTGGGATAGAATTTTCAATAGATTATGAATATCCACCTCGTTTCTCTTTTTGAATATGTTAAAAATATGACCTCATCCCCTTTTGCTAATAGGTCCTTATGCTTTGTCAAAATCACAAGTAATTCATACTTGCATCGATTTTGACAAACTTCAGTTATCATCATCGATTTTGTCAAAATCACAAGTATACATAGTGCATACGTAGCAGATTCTTCTTCCTGTTTAAGGGTTCAGTCTATCGGAAAATATTCAGCACACTACACGGACGTGCATGTTTGCCAACAACTTTCATTATTATCTGCGATCAATTTGCTGATATGGACTTCCAGACATGCCTTTAGTAGTGTAGACTGTTTGTTGATGAACTTTGCCTCGTTGCCTCACATCAACTTCAATAAAATGGCTACGTGCATCAAAATGCATGAATATGTTAGACCTACATACGAATCTTACATACCCTACACACCTCTTCTCTAGTAATCAAAGATGAATGGTGGAGCAGAACGATTGGTTTCTTGCACGGTGAGGGAAGTGTTAATCAAGTCAAAGGCTCAGGCAGTCCCAACATACACCATGAGCTGCTTTAAGCTCACGAAAAAAAGTGTACAAAAATATATCTTCGCCGATGGCAAAGTTTTGGTGGAGCAGTTCAATTGACCAGCGTTCCATGCACTGGATAGATTGGAAGTCCTTGTCACTTCCAAAAATAAGAGGAGGAATGGGATTCCGTAATCTGGAATGTTTCAATGTGGCTTTGTTGGGAAAGCCCGGTTGGAGGCTGATTACAAGTGCGCTTTCTTTGTGCCCCAGGGTGATTAAAGGGCGCTACTTCCCAACGATAGATTTCATGCATGCCACCGTTCCGTGCAACGCAGCTACCTGGCAAGCGATCGTTGCAGGGAGGGCAGCATTAGAGGTTGGACTGCTAAAGAGGATTGGGGATGGCTCCTCTATAAGCATCTGGGAAGATAGATGGCTGCCGAGGAGGTCATCATTGTGGCCTTCGGAGCAGGTTGGTGCTGCCATAATTCATATAGTCACAGATTTGATAGACAATGATAATTGGTCCTGGAAAGCTAATTTAATCAGGAATAACTTCATACACCCGGATGCTGAGGCAATTCTAAATATTCTGCTCAGACAGGGTGGTGGTGATGATTTCTGGGCTTGGGCTCATGAGAGGACGGGTTCCTACACTGTGAAATCAGCGTATCGTGCTCTAATGACTCGTAACGAGCAGTTAGCTCTAGAGGAAGGGACGATTACAGAATCTTTAGAGAATGATAAACAGTTGTGGACACGACTATGGAAGCTCAAAGTGTTACCTAAGGTTGGTGTGTTCTGGTGGCGAGTCCTTCGTGGTATCTTTCCGATGGAAACAACATTGCAGCAAAGACATATAGTGACCTTAGCTCGTTGCGAGGTCTGCATGGGTACAGATGAAGATATGATTCATGCATTGATAAAGTGTTCTCATGCGCAGAGCTTCTGGACATAAGCATGAAGCTGGCTTCACCTTAAGCTGCCTGAGTTACACCCTAGTACGTGGTGCAAGGACATTCTTTGTGATTCATGTATTTTTGAGGCGGGCCGACCGAAAAGCATTACTGTGATGTGGGCGATATGGACATCCCGTAACAACATAACGCATGACAGAGTGAGCATGGACCCGGTTCAGTCCATGAAGCACATAAGAGAAGCTCTAGCCATGTTGGAGCTTGCGTTGGAACAGACCAGGATGTTGCATGGGTTTGGATGGAGATCGCCTGAGCATGATTGGGTCAAGATCAACACAGATGCTAGTGTCTCATCGTCTAAAAACAAGAGTGGTGTAGGAGGTTTAGCAAGAACTCCGTCCTCATTTGTTGCTGCCTGGAGCAAGCCTTACTTCGATGTTACTGATCCACTTATTGCAGAAGCTTTGGCTCTACGAGATAGGGTGATTTTTGCAAATCTCCGGGGGTTTTTGCGAGTGCTGGTGGAAACATATTGCTTGGAGATGGTACAGCTATGGCACTAGCGACGCTTTTCGCGCTCCATTGTAGCGCTGGTATTTTCAGAAATTTATGAGGTAGCCTTATCCTTTCTTTCTTTTGATATTCAACATGTAATGAGAAATGCCAACATGTCGGCCCACTTGTGTGTGAAACATGCAAGCACACTTGGGGTTCCTGACTGTTGGATGGACTCCCCACCCGGTTTCCTCATGACCACCCCCTAGGTGTAGCAAAGTTTGTGCTAAGGAATTTTACCAACCATAAGCTTCAACCCAACTATCTGACGGTTCCTCCCTCCCCTCCCTGTAAGGAGAAAGAAACGCAACCCGGTTTTGTCTGCCGGTGAGGTCGCGGCTCTCTCCCCTCCGCCGCTCTGGCGATGGGTGGGGGAGGGGATCCCGGTTCATCGTCCTAGTAGTGTAGTTAGAGTTAGTACATGTGTTTACCTCGTCGCCGTTTGGATGGCAGCAACCTTGACCGTGGGAATAAATATTCCACGGTCCAGGCTCCATCTCGGCAGCCTCATGGCGGCGAGGTCAAAGGATTCGTGAGAGATTGTGTTCTGTTGTTCCTTTGGTGCAGCAGATTTGGTGTCCTTTGGTGGGTTGGTGGTGGTTGCCCCAAGCGGCACCATCCATTTGTGTGGGATGATTAGCATCCAAGAACTGGCATGGTGGTTCGTGATTGATGGTTCATATGCTATTCCTCGACGACGTCGACGA